ACACACAGACAACCTCTCGTCAATATGCGTTTTTTGCATTGCATTGCTGCAAAAAACGCATAATGATAACAGCACCAACAAAGGCCGGGACTTTTTATGAGAGACGAAAACATTTTAAAATGACCAATGTAGAAACATTTTGCCAAAGCAACCATTTACCGGGGAAGGATCGCTGTCTTCTTCCTTCTTTAAAAGCAAACTAAAAAGTGATTAATTCGCAGGCGTGCTACAAACACTCCAGCACCTACTTACCATCGACACAAGTTGTCAAAAAACTGGTCTTTTTTATAGCAGTTCAAGCTGTGAGGCATTTTTATTAACTCTTCATCAGGCTCACTCTTTGCAAAATATTGCAGATTTCTTGTTCAAGTACATGTATTAAAGAAAACTCTTATCTTGACAAATCTATAATTATGATCCAATGACATAGGCAGTCCTGAAAAGCCATCAACAGCCATGCCAGTGAATGCTTGATTTGGGCACATGTTATCACTTGGGCTAAGTCCGAACGCCTCTGCTTTTACCTTTTTTCTAGAAACTTTAAAATTCATTAATGTATCATGTAGCTTACGGCTGCGGTCGATAATTCCAATGACGCCACATGCAGCTCGTGCGCCAGAATGGCCTGTACTAGCGCTTTCTGGTGTTCCGCCTTTTCCTTGATCATCCATATTAACATGAATAACAACAGATCGCCCCACGATTGAATTAGGTCCCTCAAGTGATAAGTTGTTTGCGTGAATTAACACATGTGCTTGCCCTTGTGTATCCTGAAATTTGCTATGAGAAACTGAGGAAATTTAGATAAGAGGAAGTAATCACTGTTTTTTTTTTTTATTTTTTTTTTGTCATAGGTTTACTTCTTGCTTTTGTAAAGATTAAAATTTTCAATGCATTGATAACTTCCCGATTCTGAACGGCTTTCAAGCGTTTAATCAGGGAAGCATCCAAACAAATGATAAAAATTTTCTGTCTAATCAAATCAACAGAAAATTTTTATCATTTGTTTGGATGTTTTTCCCTCTGGATCGTGGTTGGAAAACATAAATGTGAGCGTTAAAAAAAGAACCATGGTCGTTTTTGGTGCATCCATGGCTCTTCCAGATTTTTAGCAGATTTTGAGATCCAATAAGCTGATGAACGACACAGACTTTTTTCGCCTGCAGTTTCGCTCCCACAAATTTTTAATGAATTTATGCAGCGGCTTTCCATTCCTACTCCTCTGTCGAGTATTGGACCGTGTAAAAGATTTCAAAATCAGGCACCATGTCGTTTTCTCGGATGAAAAACAGTCCGAAGGTCAAACAGAGAAGAAGTTTTTCACACCGATGATTATCATGTTTGTATATCTAGAAAACTAATTATGCGTTTTTGCTTACATACATATGCAAAAACGCATATTGTGTTGTCCTCGATGTGTGTGTGTTTATTTGTGCGTGTGTGTGTCTGTCCCGATATTTCAACTCGGCACCCGAGCAAGCTCCGACGCTAGAATTTTGCCACTGGCTTCATCGGCCAAGTACTAGCCCAGGACCGTAGTACCAATCCTCACGCAAGTCTGGAACCCGCGTACGAGACGGTGCAAGTTTTGGCGGGAAAACTGCTGACTCGGGAACAAGAAAAGATAGAAAGTCGAATTTTTGAGGTTATGTTCCCCGTCCACACATAACCCAAAGATTTTAAATTCAACATCCAGGCATCCATGGTTCCTGCGTACGGCTCCGTCTGGGTTCCTGGCACGAAAATCGTTAACATGGGGACCAGGAAAGCCTGAAGGCTGAAGTTTTAAGGGAATGTTTTCCGTCCACATACAAGTTAAATTTATCAAATTCAGCCCCAGGCATGCGGAGTTGTCACTACGGCCCCGTGAAAATTTTTGGCGGGAAAACGGCTAACTCGGGAATCAGGAAAGCTGGGGAGATGAAGTTTTAACGGAATGTTCCTTGTTCAAATACTGCGTAGGCTATAAGCTTCCCGGGCTTCGAAGACCATTATGTCACGTATTTCTATTTACTGAGTTTCCGAGCGACTCCATTACAACACAAAATATTGCAAAAACACATGATCGCACGGGCCGACCCGGTGCGCGTCGCCAGTGAACTTAAAAATGTTGAAATCTAGGATGATTAAAATTTTATAGAGTAGCGTGGGTTTTACTATAAATAAGTTAGCTAACAGCGACGATATTTCCCAAATCACCGACGTGCCGGTGCTCATCATTCGGCCCACCGTGCATAACACCGCATGGATTGAAATGGGAACCGGCATCGGCGCAGCCCACTCCCATAGCGCCATTCTGATGCACGTGGAATCCGTGGGAGCCTCGTGTCAGCCCACTCAAAGTGCCTGCGATCTGCAACAACAAAACATTATATGCATTTGGTGAAATAAAATTTTTTGAATTTGCTTAAATTTTACAATGGAAAGTAGCAGTGCTGTTGACCTGTTAGCAGGGACTGGACTGAGCAGTAGTACAACCAAACGCTCTATAATTTCTTCATTCGTTGACGGTAAACAGGTGCATGCCAGGGAACTGTCAAAAAAAGCAACCTGTTTTTTAAGAAGTTCGACACTATCAGCTTATTATTTTGCATGTAGCGTACCATCAATAACTGGAGTGCCTGCTGGACGAAGCAGTAATCAGTATACAGAATAGCAGCGCTGCCAAAGAAGCAAATTAACTTAGCAAATAGTTTGCTTCAGTGAAAACTAGAAGAAAAATGTCAGTGACTGGAGCCCACAAGAAAGTTAACCACTTAGACCACCAAAAGGATGTCACATATATGTTATGGTAAGCACTTGTGCAGTTAGGATAGGATGGCGAGACATTATTGGGCCCGAATTTTAGATTCACTGCAGTAACACCAGGTATGGCGAACATCTAAAGATTTAGTTTGGCGATAACGCAACTGCGATTGAGTTTGCAAAGTAATGACAGCCAAAATTTTCTAGAATTTATTATTTATCAAATGATTATGTTACTAAAACAATCGTTGCTAGCTTATTTGCGTCATTTTCGAAATTCAGTGGCTTAAAGGTGTATTTATTTTAATAAATACACACTTATTTTAACAAATTATTTTAATAAATGCACCTTCAAACCATTACATTTCGACAGTGATGCAAAAAGGGATTGAAGGTATTGTAAAAATTTTCAAAATTCTTTTTATTTTTTAAAATAAAATATGCTAATTAACTTTTTGTTTCTCTTTAGCGTTTTTTCCCATTTCTGTCGCTAACCAACGCTATACCCAACCTAATTTTGTATGCGGCTTTACATAACAAAAGCTAGTACGCATATTTCCCACACGCATAATCAACGGCTGTATTGTATCCAGTTGGTACAGCTGGATACAAAGAGATAAACTTGGTAGGGCGCCTCCTCTTAGGAGTAGCTCCTTTTCTCCCTATATAAACCCTGTTTTCCCCCACGCTGGGGTCGGTTTTCATTTTAACTACAGATCAACCATCTTCTCGAATCTCCCGTATCGGCCCCGATCGTTTTAGCGTTCACATCACCAGATCTTCGGCTCCAACGTATGGGTCGTTTCGCCCTCGACAAAATGTCTACCAAAAACGCTAAAAATCAGTAAAATCTGTGGCACAAACAATAGCTAACCAAGACACTTTTTGCTTGTTGAGTGAAGGTTAAGATTCCTAGTGTAACAAGCGGTGGAGGAGTACTGATTCGCTGGTTGTCAGCTTGTGGATTTCTCTCTTGTGGACGGCCATCTTGAAGATTACCGTCTAGAAAATTATTGCCTTTAGAATAGTCAACTAGCGGATTGCCGCCTTGGGGGTTATCGGCTGGTAGATTTTGGCGTTGCCGTCTAGATCCTAGTGCACCCGGCTCATTCTCTGCTGGAGGCTGTACTGCCGGTGCTGCTTGGAAAACTTGAACGACAGCGCTTATATCTGAAATTTCAATTTATCAGTTAAATTGCAGATTTTGGATTTTGATAACTGAGCACATAAGTCGGTAATAAATTTTTTATGTGCTGCAGCAAGCAATGGTACTGCCACTGAGAAAACTACGGAAAATATTATACTTTCATAGTCATCATCATGCTTGGCATGAGGAAAAGAGTTACTGGGCCTATTTTTTTTTTTTTAATAGAAAGCCCATATTTCCGCTCTACAAAGTTTATAGTGTAGTTTTTAAAAGTTCAGCGTAAGGTTTTACTAAAAAATAGCAGATGCAGCACTTTTGCATCCTGAAGTAAGATTTCGAGCTTTTATGGACGACTTAATCCAGCAAAGCGGCTGATCTCTCGAATTATTTAAAGCGTCTAGAACTATAACGATTGAATGGCCAACAAAACTGGAGAAAATGAGGAGTTAGCTCATAGCTGTTAAGTGAAACTATATTTAATTGTAGCGGTTTTAACGGATTCGACGTAAAACGCATAAAAATTTAAAACGAATCAGCACCTGATGCATAGCCGATGCTTTAATACACGTTATCGCTTCAATTTGGTACACGAATTTCTATTAGAGTTTACCTTGTCCTGCTGCTATTGAAATTTTTTGAAGGCTCAGGAATAAAACAGTGAGGCACATAAACAGTATCATGTTTGCCAACAGTGCTTGAAACCCTGGCCCCACAGTTTCCAGAATGCCGCTTTTATACTAAATTTAGGAAAAATTGTTCATCATTCAGGAATCTGCTATTTTTGGTCTCAAACAAGCGAAAATAAAGATTTGACGGAAAAATATTTTTGTGCTTTTGTCTTCCGAACTCCGATTTTTTTGTTGGAAAAATATTTTTCATCCACTACGGCAGATAATTTCCAGGTAGCAAAACATTTCTCTCTCTCCAAATTCAAAATATGTTTGTTTTTCTTGAAAATGCAGCTAAATTTCCGGTTGATCACGGATTCCCGAGCAGAAATTTGCTTCATAACAAAACTGTTTGTTTTTATTACAGACATGCACGCTCATGAGCCCAAAAGCACCGACATCACATGCATACATATGCTTTTCATTGTGCTGTTTGCTAATAGTACAATCACCGTGTACTGTTTGCACCGATCTGATTAATAACTACTGTAATCCGGAAATCAGCTGTATTTTTCCGATGCATGAACATTTGGTTTAAGAAAACATACGCAGAAAAAGAAAGATCTATATTCGTTGTGCTGCTGATCCTACATTCATGAACAGCAAAAAGTAGTGTAGTTACATAAACCCAACACAAGACTGTATATCTCAGCAATCATAGTTCAGGCCCCTGACAACTCCTACATGATCAATTTCCTTGGTTTTATAAGTTTTATTGGATGCTGATGTTGCATGAATACAGCAAGTAGTTGAGCTAAATGCTATTCAAGCTACGAGAAATCCAGAAAAAGAAAAAAAGGTATTAGAAAGCTTTAGTAGGATAACACATCACTGAAAAATCTTGCGTTAAAAACTAGCAGTTACTTCGATGAAGTAAAGATGTGCTATGACAGCTTATCATACCAGAAAGTAAAACGCTTTGATTAAAACCTCTTTCCTGGAATCTTACTTTGCTAGTAATGTCATTAAGTAATTAGTTTGAATGTATGTTTTTAAAGCATTTTTGCACGAATGTGGTGCTTTTGACCTATTATTTATGTTTATTAACTTAGCACATTTCCTGTTTGCTAGATTACTTTCCTTTTTTTTTTAATATGCGATGCGAAAAACGCATATCGAAAAACACTATGCAACGCAAAAAACGCATATTGACGAGAGGTTGTCTGTGTGTGTGTGTGTTTGTGACTGTGTGTATGTGTGTGCGCAGGGCCTCTGTACCGATTTTTCATCTCGAGACCTGCAAAAGCTACAGGGTTGAAACTTTGGGTACTTAATCTACATGCATGTACGGGCTCCCATCCCCAAAATGGGCGGTCTTTTCCGCGTTGTGCCCATGTAAGAGCCCGCCAAAGTTTTTTGCGGGTAAGCTGCTAACTCGCGAACCAGAAAAGCTAGAGAGCTGAAATTT